TAAACTAGTATTTTGATAAATATAAAATATAATAAAAAAAAGTGGTTGGGGTGTGTTGTAATAAGTACTTAAAAGTATATATTTATTAAGATTTTATATCATTATATTGCACTTGAAGTATCATTAAATTCCTTAACTTAAGTATGCTTTATAATAACAAATCTGATAATATAAGATAATTTTAATTTATGGTAAATATTCACTTTAAATGCAAGTTTTGAAAATAGACATATCTCATAATTTAGATTATTAATTGATGTATTTAACTATTGAAATTGAGGAGACAAAGACAGAGTTGAACTTAAAGTAGAAATATTAGTTGGGCTGATTCAATTCAAATTAGAATACCATTCGGTTTTTAGATCATAACTAGAATTATAGACCTTAGATTTAGGTGTGGTTTTGTTCAATAAAAATCTAAGATATAGGCCTAAAACATTCATAAAAAGTTTAAGATTCAACACCACTCTTAGCGAAATAAGAGAAGTTTAAATATGTTATGCATCCCAAATAATGTTTGATATTTAGTTGATATCTCAAGTTATAGAAATCCAAATAAGCCTTTATTTTTATTTTTATTTTGGAATTTGAGACAAATACTCACAACTTCATAAAGATCATCTGTTCAAATTTTGAAGTTATTAATGATGTGTTGTTCAACCACAAAATCAATAGTTAACCACCAAATCAATAGTTTTGAATTTTAGCTTATAAAATGAGACATTTACCATACATTTAAGTATCTTGGTTTTTATATCAAGATCTTACTTTTGCTTTTTTTTTATTTGTATTTTTGTAATGTTCAAGTTTTATTTCATGTTATAATCTCATTAATCTCTTTTTTTTTTATCATTTCTTTTACAATACTCAGTTAATTTATATCATAGCTATGTTTTTATCTTATTTATTTATGTTTTTCTTCTTCATTATGTTTTGTTAAGTTTATTTTTACTAAGGTGAAAAGGTTACACTAATGGTGTAAGAATAAGTATGGTACAAACTTAACATAAACTTTAAAGTTTATATTAAAAAAAGTTTGTTATTAACATATTTTATAATTGTTATCTTACTTATTCTTAATATCTTTCTTATAAAGTGGTGAGTTTATATTCATGATGTACAACGTTAGGCCTAACAAATGCTTGATTCTTTCATAGCCTACTGTATGGATAACTGACACCTATGTTATGAAAAGAACTTGATTTGTTATTGATATAAATTAGCATTATAAATACTTGATAAAATTTTCAAGTTTTGGTGTTACTTAAATATAGTAATTAATATAATCATGTTAATAAATTAACATGAGTCATTAATAATAAATCATTCGATTAAAACCTCATTTGTATTTAGTTTCTAAATGAGTAATAAAAAGGAATTTAGACTATACTTATTTGAAATATCATTAGTAAATCCTCTAATATTGACAATTATTTTATCTTCGTTTAATCTTTATATTAATATCACATATCATAGTTCTCTTTAACTCTATTTCTTTTATTATTTATGGCTTTATATAATTAACCTCTATATGGATCGATCTCAGTCTTGTTGGGTTATTTATTAATCTAACACTACTACGCTTAGAAGAAAACATCAATCATTTTATCATGTCATGCAATACCACGTCGGTGTGTGAGAGATGCTCGTGGTCTTCTAGGAACACTTGCGACACCTCTCGTAGAAAATTTCTAGTATGTCATTTGAACCATCATGGCATCTTCTTCCTGTTAGGAATGTGTGTGGTGTCGGTGGTAGGGTGATTTATTGTCGATGGTGCTTTCTTTCTTTCTTTTCTTCTTTTCTTTTTCTTCCCCTTAAAAAGTGTGTTGCCTATTAAAAATTTCAAAGTTGTCCTCTTGTTGGGATTTCAACATCAATCTTTATTTTTTTATTCTAATTTTTGTTCTTGGTTTTTTTATAAAATTTTAATTTATTTTAATTTCATCCTTTTTATTTTTCAATGTGGTCCTCATTATTTTTTAATTTTACCATTCAATAAATTTTTTATAGTTTTCCTTTATTTTTTTATTTAAATTTTGATCCCCATTTCTTTAATTGATATATTTTTTTAATTTTTTAGTATAATTAAAATTTTTTTTCTAATTTCATTCTTCAACATTTAATTAATTGAGAATTGGGCTTTATGTTTTTTTTTTCAAATAAGGTGTTTCTAGCTTAATAACTCAAGTTATGAATTTGAAAAATTAACACTAGTTGACATCATTTTATTTATTTATTTATTTTTATAATTTCATCATCATTTCACATTGGTTTGTTCTGTAAAAATAGGCCTTGTGGTTATTTTTTTGTTTTTCTATATGGTTGTCCCATCTTATAACCTATGTTATGGTTTTGGTAGGATAACCTAGAAAGGGGTCAATTGTTTTTTAGGGAATTGTAATATCTTTTTCAATCCCACCCTTTAAAACTTGGTTTTTTTTTTAAAAATAATTTTCATTATTTTTTTTTATTTTGGATTTTGTTGGGTTATCTAATTAGCCTAATCTAGATTGCGAGGTTTGTCTTACTTGGTTTTACTTTTTTTTTTATTAATTTTTTTTATTAATTTATTTTTTAATTTCATATTTCTACAGTTGGTTTGTTGAGAATCAAGTTTTTTAAATTTTTTTCTATTTATTTTCTATTAAGTTATCTTGTTTTTATTACCTAAATTATAGATTTATTATGTTAACTTGAATTTAAACCAAGTTTTTTTTTTTATCTAATTTCATTTTTCCAAGATCACTTTTTGGAATGAGTTATATTTTTTTTGGAAAAAAAAATTAAAGTTATCATGGTCATTGTTTTATTTGATTTATTTATTATCATTATTTATTATTTATTTTTAATTAAAATGAAATAAAATCAACATCAGTTGAATTTATAACATGATTCACAATTTTTTCTTCTTTCTTTAAAACATGCCTGTAATACATTAACATTAGTTTTAGAGCAAAGAATAATAATAATCTAATCTCACTGCATAGCGCTGGTACTTATTTAGCATTAACTATAATTGCATTGACCACCACTTGCGATCACACATATTTAGTATTAACTCCAAGTATGTTTAATAAATTATAATAAAAGGATTAGAGAAAAACTTAAAAATCCTTTAAAGAAAAAATAAATAATAAATTTGTAAAGAAAAAATAAAAAGTTGAAAGTTGAATAAAAATTTTAAAAATAAATAAATAATAAATAGTGAATTCATAAAATCATCAACAAAATACATGTTTTGTTAAATAATGAATAGATACTCATTATGTCCTATTATAAATTTAAATTATATTATATGCATTATTTAATTTGTATTTCAATGAAGACTTGCAGTGTCTTATAAATTTTTATACTCGTAAATGACTAATTATAACAATATAATTTGATGATTGTATATCTATGAAATTCATAGGTACTTATAGTGTTCTTTTTATGCTCAATAATTATATTATAAATTAAAAAAAAAAAACAATACTTAATAGATACTTATAACATCTTTTTCTTTCTTCTCATTTTCTTTTGTCTTGAGAGAGAGATACTTGTTGTGTTTTCAATATTCTATAATTATATAATTTTTCTTAAGAAGATAGGAGGCAATATAAAAAATAAATTGTTTTTTAATTTTCCAAAATCGAAATCAATACTAAATTGGGAGTAACATTAGAGTAAAACTAAAGTAATTAAATCATTTTGTCTTTTCATAATGAAAATTATGTATATTATTGCATTATTTACGCACACAATATTTACGTACATATTATTATAAATCCACTGCTGAATTAATACATAATACTTTTTGTATTTATATTTTATTTTGAATTTAATTTTTTTAAATACGTGAATACTTTAAGACCTTGTGATTTTATTTTTTTAACTACACTACTGAATCCAGTAGTGGTAGAATTGAAAGGAACTAGAAAAATATGAAATCGGGAACTCTTACGCCAGAGGTGGACATGTTTTGCCCCTCGTACTAGTTTGGAATCAGCCAATGCTTTCATTCATTGGCTCAACCAGATTGATTTAGACTTTTAATATGAATCAATCCAGGTTAAAAAAAATAAAATCAAAGAAAAAAAATTAATTGATCCAAAAAATCTGACATTAATTCATTAATTTTTTTAAAAAATAATTAAAATAATATTATTTTATTTTAAAAAAATATCTTGAAGTCAACTTGAATAACTCAAACCCAATCTTTTAATCTATAACTCGAGTCTTATTCTAGATTATATTTTAAAATTATGTTGTTATAAATTCTACCCAGCACAATATCTTCAAGACACAACGGAGAGTCAAAATATGTATTTGAAATTTTTTTATTTTTTTAATATTTTTAAATTATTTTGATGGATTAATGTTGGTAATAAATTTTAAAAAATATTATTTTAATATATTTTTAAAAAATATTTGTACTTGTTAAAATGCGTTATTGTCAATGTCGAGATCTTCATGGCTAAAACATCATATCATAATTTAGTTATTTGGCAATTATAGAAACGCAAGCATATTCTTTCTTCTTGTATTATTTTCCTCCTCGAGACGTAGTATCCAACATGGAAAAGGTCACAACATGCAAACATTACATAGTTTGGCCCATACCACAGATCCAAACCCAACAACTTTTGTCGATTGCATGGAAATTCTCCTCTCTCTCGTAGAAAGGTTCCAGACTCCCCAAAGAAAGCAGCAATTTTGCTACTCTCTTTATCGATCGATTCAAAGATTACTTCCTTCAAAATCACAGAACTAATATGAACGTAAGCGTTTCCTTCTCAACTACCAACCACAATGTACAGCCCATAAAAAGATTCTTCGAGGAAATCCACATCTCTAATTTATTCTACCTGTAAGTATGCACGCAATTTTGCTATAGGACAGCAGAAGGCATAAGAAAAAACCAAACATTCCAAAATACTAGGTGCATCTCTTTGTTACTTTCTTCCAGCTCTAGCTATAAAAGCCGTTGTACGTAGTCCAAATCAAGAAAGAAAGAAATGAATGCCCTCTATAATCTAGCTCTATGTCCAACTCCATGCTCTCATAGCACTCCAAAACATAACACAAAGTGGAAAACTGAAGTGAATGGGACTGCAACAGTGGCTCTCAAGGGAAAGGCATTGTCCAGAGCAAGTTCTGTAACTGGTAAGCAAAGAAGAATTGTCTCAGCTGCATCTGCTACAGAATTGACTCGTGTCAGTGAAACAAAAGGTCGACAAAATATCCCAACCGAGAAGCAGTTGGTTGATCCATTTCGTCAAGGGACCATCACTGAAGGGGGTGTTAGATACAGACAGACTGTTGTTATAAGGTCATATGAAGTCGGTGCTGATAAAACTGCAACATTGGAAAGCATTCTCAACCTTCTTCAGGTTAATTACTTGACAGAAACATTTTTAGTCTTTGTGAAGAGTACTGAGAGCATTCTCAAACATTTCACTATGAAATTCTCGTGAGGATGCAGGAAACAGCATTGAACCATGTGTGGGTATCTGGGCTACTAGGTGATGGATTCGGTACCACACATGGCATGGTAAGGAATAACCTCATATGGGTTGTAACAAGGATGCAAGTTCAAGTTGATGAATATCCCATCTGGTAATTAACCGTCACTTGTACGGAAGAAAATTATTGATGCATTGAATCGCAAAGGTCTAGTCACATTTTGGTGAGTTAAAAACGTGGATACTTGAGAAGCTAACTGTTTTTTGCAGGGGTGAAGTAATGGAGGTTGACACATGGGTCGGGCCATCAGGGAAAAATGGAATGCGGCGAGATTGGCTTATCAGAAGCGATGTCACCGGAGAAGTATTAGTTCGGGCTACAAGGTATGACTCTGAACGTCCTCATTCTTTCTTTCATGGTTCTCTTGGTTTCTCTACTAAGGCGTTGCAAATCTGAAACAGTACTTGGGTGATGATGAACCAACAAACTAGACGGCTTTCAAAGATGCCAGAAGTAGTCAGAGCTGAGATTTCACCTTGGTTTATAGAAAATAAAGCATTTGAAGAAGAAATTCCTGAAAAAATATACAAGCTGGATACGAATGCCAAATTTACAAACAGCAACTTGAAGGTGATTTAGTATATTACTACCTTCAATATCAAAAATAGACTTCCGCCATCATACCCATACAATTTTCTCGGTCTAGAAAACATTAATATAAGCACAATCAAACAACGAAGCGATCCTGCTTTTGCCCTCAATCTAGATTCTAGGATCAGGAATATGCTGATAAGTTGCCTGTTGTCTATGTAGCCCAAGAGAAGTGACTTGGATATGAATCACCATGTGAACAATGTCAAGTACGTTAATTGGATGCTGGAGGTAAAGACATAATCACCCTGGCAAACCAATCTCATTACAAAATCTGGATAGCAGAACATGAGAATTGTAATCCTCGCTTTCTATACAGACCATCCCGCACAAGTTTTTGGAGAACTATCAGCTAACCAGGATTACTCTGGAGTATAAAAGGGAATGCAGCAGTTCAGACGTCGTTGAATCACTATGCAAACCTGAAGAAGAGAGATTTGAAGAAAGGCATCAAGACAGAAATGTTGGCAATGAAGATTCACTATCGTCAGCTTTATTTCAGGATGGTAACCACAGTAAATCATTCAAGGCATACACCCATCTTCTACAGATTACAGGAGATAAGGAAAGTGAAGAGATTGTTCGAGGTCGAACCATTTGGAGAAGAAAACTCTAGACTATGCACTAGGTACCCAGTGAGCTCATGCCAAGAAGAGCTGCTAGGCTATATATGGTAGCAACTGTCATTACATAAACATTCTAGCAGACAAGAATGTTAATACTTCCACTACAGCCTAGATAGGAATCAGGTATAAGACATAGTGACATACACGAGGGCGAGCTTAGCATGCTTTGTCTACTGTGTTCATTGGCTATTTGCCATTTAATTGCTACGAATAGTTGCTTTGATTACATTCATCATCAGGTGTTCAACGTGACAGCTACTTAGCTTGATTTTACATTTTAAAATTAATGACAATCCATGAAAAAAACCATGCTATTCTCTTCATTTTAATTTGAAAGATGGCAATTTTATCCCCAAAAAATAAAATATTCAATTTTAAGTAGTCATCAATTTGGTTACCATGAGCATTGAATTGTTAATTTAATATATTCCACATTTTTTTATAAATTAAACTGTGAAATGAAAATCACAAGATCATGATATCCAATCCTAGCAACATATATTTAACTCGATCAAAAATAAAATAACAACGAAAAAAATAATACACACACATATAGAGGGGGGGGGGTAAAGCCATGCTTAGAAATAGCTGTATATCTAGGACCAAAGAATAGAAATCTTTTATATCTTAATCAAAATGGTTTGTTGAACAGTGGATGAGAATTATGTTTACCTTCAAGGCTCTGCAGCTATTATGAGAAACTCATAAGATCTCACAGCACAGCTTTCCATCTCCGAAGCTGTGAAAGTTGACCACACAATCCAATGCCAAAAGGTGGGCGAAGGTTCTGCTGCTGAAGCTCTACCATTTATGACATCAGTTACCAAAAATTGAGGGAAAATAGATTGATGAATTTAGTGTACATTTTTTGTTTACAAACGAATCAACCCTTTGTTAAAGTATGATTATGCTCTTCTGACAGCAGGCCCAAGGAGGAGTTACAGTGGCCCTTCTATTCAGCAGTATGTAAGGACAGATCGGAACTTCGTGTGGGGTCCTGAATCTATATACGCAGTATAAATAATATAATAAAATTATTTAAAAATTTAAAAAAATAGAAAAATTTGAAGTTATATGGAAATTTATTATATGAAGATGCCATTTTTATTAGTTTTAATTAATTATTTAAAAGTTAGATTGTTACAAATATTGACTTTTAATGATAATTTATATAAACTATTAATAAAAAAACTTTTAAACTTTTATTTAAAAAAGGAAGATTGTTATGCATAGAGTTCTAGTTCTTTATTTTATGATTTATATAGTTGTTTTCCTAACATATAACAACTAAAAAAATAAAAGATATAACTTATTATTTAAAAGAAAATATGAAAATCCTCGTAAATTGGTCAAATATTAATTTTCTCCCTGAATAATATACATATATTAATTCAAGATAATTTTAAAAATTAACTCAAGTAAGTTCTTGTATGATTTTTCTACATTTAGAAATATAATCCTTATATTAATTATATTCTAGTTTTTAATTTTTAAAAAATATTTTAGACAAATCATACTTAATTAAATCATTCTAGTTTAATTTTTGACTAATAGTTCTTAATATGTATGACCCATTAGGTTACTAATATGATGTGATGGCTAAAATATAAATGATAATTCTAATTAAATAAAATTAAATAAATTAAATAATTTATTTATTATCAATTCAATAATTGATTAATTTATATTTGATAATCAAGTGTATCATCTAGTAATGTGTTATGATCCCTCAAATATTAGATTTAAGGTTAAATCTAGTAATTAAATTTAACCTCTCAGTGATTATTTTTTCAATGTAATTAATATCTTTATATCAATAATGTTCTTTAACATTAAAGCATGGAGTATGTATTATATATTAAATTATATTTATTTTCTATATAATAGTTGATGATCGTTTAAGTAAGATTTGAAATTCTTTTCAAAAATTATTTCGTCTTATCCAAGGATTTATCAATCAATATTATTTGAAAGCAAATAGAATATTTTTTCTAATACATTTAGGGTGATAAATGCTCTCTTAATCACTCAAGTATTTTCATATAGTTCATGTTGTATCCAATATCTACTCTTTCATTACCCCGATTAAAATAATATGTAACATTATTAAAACATAACATTCTCTATATAAGATAATTTAATGATCTTAAGTTTAATGATCACTTACACAACTATCACGTGAGTTTTTTTTATAAAAATAAACAATATTTCTATATAGAATTTTCATACAAATCAATTCAATATATATATTTTATAACAAATATCTATATATTAGTTTTAATATTCTTATACCTCCGCTTATAAAAACAACTGTTTCATTTCATTAATAACATGAAACAAAAGGATAAGAATTGACATAATGCTTTGCATGATAAGCTCGAGAATATATGTTACCACCTTACTAAAGTCTCAGGTTTCATTGAGCCAAAGATCTTTAACTTTAAGATCAAAATCCATGACATTCATATAATCAATTAAGTTTCATAATGGCCTTTCTTCCAGCCACAACTTACACCAAATCGAAAGGTCCCCTTTGCTCAAGTTATAAATGAAGCATTTATTTAGGTGGGAGAAGGTTTCAAAAATGGATCACTACATAAAAAGAAGAATTTGGGGAAACATCTTCCTTAAATAAATTATTTGTGATAATAAATATTAACCCACACCTTATTCCTACAATAAAAAAAAAACATTATAATCTTGTTTCCCTAAGAGAGCAATGCCAATAGCTATTGTCTCTCTAGTTCACAGGCCACTAAATTTCCTTGGGCATGAAACAGACTCCCATTTAACTAGGTGCACACCTTCATCTCTATTTGTTCTTCCTCAAATAAACCTTCTAATTAGCCTACTAATACCATTATATATAGATTGAGGTGGCTAAAATAACATAAGTGGGGATACATGATAATACTACTCTACCTAAAATAACTCTCCCCGCCTTGTTTATGAACCTTCTTTTTCAATCCGAAAACTTCTATCGAATCCTATCTAAAATCAAACTAAAATCAGACCATTTAACTCTCTTCTAGATTAATAGAAATCCAAGATACTTGCCAAGTTTGCTTGCAAATTTAATTGTCGATAATTGGGAGATCTTATGTTTTACTCGTCTTTAGACATGTTTTCAGCACATCACCCTCAACTTCTCAAGGTTAGCTTTTAGACCAAAAGCATTACAAAAATATGCTAGCACACTAGTCATAGACTACATCTAAGCTGTATTAAATTTAGAAAATAATAGGAGATCTTCCACAAAAAATGAGAGTTGTCTGGACCTCCTCTCAAAATATAAATTATTAGATCCCCTTACTTGAGACGACATGTTAGAGAAAAGGAGGGAAGCTTAGATCCATTCCAAAGGAGAGTAAAGGAGGAGGAACAAGTCATAGTACTAAGAGGGAAATCAAAGTCCTTTAAAATGGTCTGCAAGAAATCCCAATTCACCCTATCATAAACCTTCTCTAAGTCAATTTTCACAGCCAATTAGTTCGTCCAAGTATGGTCGTAACTTATTCACTAGCAATTTTATGATAAGCTTGCAAATGACATTACAGAGGTTAAGGCTAAGTTGCATTGGGCTTCTTATTTTTTAGTTAGAATTTATACATGAAAAGTTGAAAGTTTTAACTTTTCATTAAATAAAAAATTTTATAACAAATTTTTTATTTAAGTTAAAATTTATTTATAACCAAAGATATTTATTATTTTTCTATGAGTTAAAAGTTAAAAAAATAACTTAAATCAATTAACAAAATCTCAATCTCTTATTTTTTGCTTTAAATAAAATAAGTTTTATCTTTTGATGAAATATGAAATATTAATGCCTTGAGTTTAGTTGGGAAAAAAAACAGTAAACTAATAATATTTAAAATCATTATAATTATATAGTGTCTTCAAGTTATAATATTATCAAATACTTTTATTTATTATATCATTACAATTTATTATCCAAAACACTAATCCTTTTAGGGTTTTTAATATATCTCAAGACACAAAATACTATTTATTAGAATAATATCATGACTTTTTTGTCCCTTGATTATGTTGTTTTTGGCCTTAATTTTGGGGGGTAGGATGGACTTTTCATCATGATATAAATATCTTTTGAGAATTATTTAGGGTTATTTTAGCAACTAGATTTTTAAATACATAGTAAAATTATCAATATAACCCTTTAATAAAATAATTTAATGCTTTTTGTACTAGGATGTTTTTGTATATTTTAATTTTTATAAAACAATTGAATTACTACATTATGTTTTTTTTTACCCTTGGATTTAGGAGTTTGGCTGTGACTTTATCATGGTTCTGTTTGTTAATATTGTTTGGTTTTAAGATTATTTTTTATTTTTGCACAAAAAACATAAAAAAAAAACAAAAAACTTACTACGCATGTGTTAACTGCTATATTGTTTTTTAATGGTGTGTGCAACTAATTGTTATAATAGCGATTTCGTCAAATCATTTGACTTGTCGTAACATCCACTTCCTTTATGGTTGATGTGTGTACAATAATTTAATTTAGTTTGGTCTAAAATTATTTTTTTTTCCTTTTTTTTCTTGTATTACATGTTGGTCGTGGAAAAATTCATGCCAGCCCATCAACCTTTTTTTTTTTTGATTCAGTCTCTCTTATGTTATTTATCATTTTTTTATTTACATTTATTGTTTTTAATTAAATTTTATTTTCAATTTCACCTCTATTTATTTTATTTTTTATATAAATATTTAAATCATCAATTTCACTAACTTGGGATTTAAATGTTTTTAACCCATCATTTCTTTTCTATTAAAAAACAATTGTTTGGCTAGTGATAATGCACAGACAACATATCTAATCTTACTACTATCTAACTTAACAAATTACATCGTAATTATGTTAATTACTATATCGCAATATGGCAACAAATTGTTGCTCAAAAGATATATTATCACCTTTTTAAGTATAAGTGATTGCAAATTATGAGGTATAATCATTCAATGAATCCTAAAAAGTTATTTTATATTTTTGTAATTCAACTAATTAATTTGCAATTATAATAGTTACAAGTAATTGAGTATATTTTCAATTAAAAAAAAATATTTGTTTGTTTATTGAAAAAAAATATATCATTCAAATCATAAAAAAATATATTTATAAATAATTTAAACTTTATTTTATAATGCCATAAGCTTAAAGGCACTCAAGTAAATAATTCTTCTATTTGCAAGTAAGTTGACTAAGTAAACCATCCCTATATTTAAAATTATAATTTTTTTTAATATTTTTTAAATAATATTAAATATTAAAAATATACCATAAGAAACATCTAAAAACACATGTAAATCTTGGATTAGCGAGTCCTGCAAAATGAATCTCACTTTAATACTATGATACAGTGATTAATTTACATTCTTAGGTTTTTTATCATTTATTTTCTTTAATATTTATCATGGTGTAATCTTTTATTTTATATAAAAAAAAACATTTTACTTAATTTCCAATAGAAAGATTAAAATAAAAATGTAAAACGAAACACCACCGTTTCATTAAAAAAGAAAAAGAAAAAACATTTCTCCATTTTCTTTTTTTTAAAAAAAAAAACCGTTGATTACTCGCTTGCCATCTAAAAACCCCAACTTCTCATTTCATTTTTCCACAGAACCCCTCTCTTCCTAGGTTTGTTCTCTTCCACCTTTACCCCTACCTCCCTACTTATTTTACACTCTCACGCCACTGAATTCGGGTTAGGGTTTCAAACAAACCATTCAATGGCAGCTGTCTCCGCTCCTAGATCTTCCAAAACTGAGTCCTACATCGACAACAAGCGGAAAGAAGACATCCGCCATGCCAACATCAAGGCGGCGTGCGCGGTGGCTGACGCCATCAGAACCAGTCTTGGTCCTAAAGGAATGGACAAAATGATTTCAACGGCGAGCGGCGAAGTCATCATCACCAACGACGGCGCCACCATTGTTAACAAGATGGAGGTTCTTCAACCTGCTGCGAAGATGCTCGTCGAACTATCTAAATCTCAAGACGCCGCTGCTGGTGACGGCACCACCACCGTCGTTGCCATCGCCGGATCGTTGCTTAAGCAGTGCCTTACTCTCCTCTCCTCTGGTATCCACCCTACTGTTATCTCCGATTCATTGCATAAAGCTTCAATTAAAGCTGTCGATGTTTTAACTGCAATGGCTGTGCCGTTAGAGTTAACGGACCGTGACTCGTTAATTAAATCCGCTAGTACGTCATTAAACAGTAAAGTAGTTAGTCAATATTCATCATTGCTAGCTCCCTTAGCCGTTGATGCTGTTTTGTCTGTTGTGGATCCTGCGAAGCCTGATTTAGTTGATCTTAGGGATATTAAGATAGTGAAAAAGCTTGGTGGAACCGTGGATGATACGGAGATGGTTAGGGGTTTGGTTTTCGATAAGAAAGTGAGTCATGCTGCAGGTGGGCCTACACGTGTTGAGAATGCGAAGATTGCAGTTATCCAGTTTCAGATTTCCCCACCAAAGACTGATATTGAGCAGAGTATTGTGGTTTCTGATTATGCACAAATGGACAGGATTCTGAAGGAAGAGAGGAATTATATTTTGGGTATGATTAAGAAGATTAAGGCTACTGGGTGTAATGTGTTGTTGATTCAGAAGAGTATTTTGAGGGATGCGGTGACAGATTTGTCTTTGCATTATTTGGCAAAAGCGAAGATTCTGGTGATCAAGGATGTGGAGAGGGATGAGATTGAGTTCATTACTAAGACTTTGAACTGTTTGCCTATTGCAAATATTGAGCATTTCAAAGAGGAAAAGCTGGGTTATGCCGATCTTGTTGAGGAGGTTTCACTTGGAGATGGGAAGATTGTGAAGATTACTGGGATTAAGGATATGGGAAGGACCACCACGGTACTTGTACGTGGGTCTAATCATTTGGTTCTTGATGAGGCAGAGCGGAGTTTGCATGATGCGCTGTGTGTCGTTAGGTGTTTGGTGAGTAAGCGTTTTTTGATTGCTGGTGGTGGGGCTCCGGAGATTGAGCTGTCACGGCAGCTTGGGGCATGGTCAAAGGTGCTTCACGGGATGGAAGGATACTGTGTGAAGTCATTTGCCGAGGCACTTGAGGTCATTCCATATACTTTAGCAGAGAATGCAGGATTGAACCCAATTACTATTGTGACTGAACTGAGGAATAGGCATGCTCAAGGAGAGATCAATACAGGAATCAATGTGAGGAAGGGGCAGATCACGAATATTTTGGAGGAGAACGTGGTGCAGCCTCTGCTTGTCAGTACAAGTGCCATGACACTGGCAACAGAGTGTGTCCGGATGTTATTGAAGATCGATGACATTGTTACTGTCAGGTAGATTGAAATTGAAGATGAAATGTGTTAGGCTATCCGTGTTTAGTCGCTAGGCTGTCTTGAATTTGTGGTTTGAGCCTCTTAGGAATGGGGCTGTTTTTCCTTCAGGTTTTTCTTCCCCCGGGAAAAATCTTAGTGATGAGTTATGGTTAAAGAATTTTGTTGGTTGACATTTGATTTGTTTTGGGATAATTTATTCGGAGATTTTTTATTTTTTGTCCCCAGCATCTAGCCTTCCTGACTTTTGATCTAACCAGATCATGGTATTTAATTTGCATATTGCATCAGGCGTGTTGCTGAATAGATTATTCTAGTTGAGCATCTCTTCTTATTGAGATTATATCAACTTGGATGGCAATCTTTGCGGCAGTTCGTGTAAATTGTTAAATCTAATACTAAATGTAACTTGCTAGCTCAATTTTCAAGCTTTTTAGAGATGGTATAAGCAAGCGTTTCGTTGTCTCTCTGTAGAGCACGCTCAGGTTAAGTATTCACATGTAAACTTGAATGTTCAATTCTGTAGCTTCTAATAGATCAAGTTTTGCTTGTTGTAATCTACAGATGGACTATCCACAATATTGATCTTTGCGATGCCTCGTCACGATTTAGACTTCTTAAGCTTCAAAGAGTTTCCCAACAGTGACGTTCAGCAGTCGCCTGACCAGCAAGAAAAATAAACAAATCTAGTAAATTGGAGGTCAGAAGTATTTAAATTTATCAACTCAACTTTAAATGTATGGTAAGAAGAATAATGTACACAATCTGATTTGAAAGAGAAACCGTAGCCAAAGAATAATGTAAAAGGTGTGGAATTGTTTTGAAACAAGGAAGCGCTAGTACAAATCCATAGTTATAAGACCCATCAATATGGAAAGGCAATTAATCATAAAGTGAAATGAAAAGAAAAAACAATTAAATAAGCATATTAATGTTGTAGACGTGTAGTGCCAGGCTCATTGATAGTTTGGCCTTCATACCCGATAATCTTGGGGGTAAAAGCATGTGGCTAGAAGAAAAAAACCAGAGGAAGAGAAAAACAAGGAGAAACAGAGGAGAGGGTGTTCGTTCGACCAGTAACCTCGCGTCTTTATCGCTAGCGGCCCAGCGCCAGGTAACCCTACCCCCCGTTTTGCAATTTCAAATAACCATATACAGTGCAGAGCATGATTAATTAAGGCGCCCCTGCATGGTTTGATCACTAGGCCGGACCCATAATCAAGCTAGACTGGTTGGATCTCCAACACAAAAATAAAAAAAGAAAACAGTTGAGATCAGAGGCCCAGCCAGCTCAATTTTTTTTGAGCTAAGGATGTATTTGGCAAAATACTTCTTTATATCCTTTCTTTTTAATTTTATTTTTTTATATTTAGCTAAAATTCTTTTTTGATATTAAAAAATTTCAAAAAACCTGTGAATTCTTTTGAATTTATTTGTTGGCCCATGCCTTTTTTTATATAACTTTACTTAATATTGGATTGCGGATTTATATTATAAAATGCAAATCTAACATGCAATATATATCTATTTTAAAAAAATAATAATAAATATATATATATGTTTTGCTTTCAATTCAAATTTTACTAGCTTATTCATTGGCGGCAAAGTCAGGAATATTTATATTTACTAATGCTAAAGTTAGAAATATTCTTAGTATTCATTGATTTCAGAATTAGAAATAATTGATAATTATTCTGATCTCTAATTTTCATGGATGTTAAAGTCAGCAATATTATTTTTTTTCACGTAATATTTACCAACGCTATAGTTGGAAATATTCATAATTAAATATTTACTAACATCAAAGTTATGAATATTAAAGGCAAAACATTACAAGTATAATACAACAAATCTTTAGCAATTTAAGACAAAACTATCAATGCAGCCTACTTTAGATAAAATGTTTAAGGGATGATAATATCTTCTTTTTTACGTAACCAATTTCGGACCATAAAATCTCTGTTGACTAGTTGGAGTTGCTAGTGACCATAATATTAGGTAGTGATTTTTTAAACAAGACATTTCCCCTGTAAGAATAAGATATCAGATATTTGTTCTTTTCATATGAAAATTTTAAAATTCGTTGCAATATCAGGTATAATAAAAGGTAACAATGACATCATAATTTCTTTACAAAAGTCTTACAATTAGGCAATTCAATCAGCTCTGACAATTTTAGCTGATCAAGTTAACAACCTCAAATGAATGAATGTGAAGCTATAGACTTTTAAATGGAGTAAGGTTTGATTCAAATGAAACATGTGCATCCCCTTTACCACCTTCAGGTGGTCTCATGTGATAATGACATCAGAATTTCTCCAACGAAGTCTTGATAGTGAGCAACTCAGTCATCCAAAGTTGAAACCCAATTATGTAACCTTTCTTTTCTTTTGTGCATACTCAAACGCTTCTTATAGGTTCTTATCAAGGGTTCACGACATTTCCTTTAAGATCAAGGGTCAAGAATAGATTCAAAATTCTTCCAAAAACCATATAAATACCCTTCTAAAATCAAAGGTATTCTAGATATCTTTCTAATATAAAAGCAAGCCCTTGCAGTCTGCTTTAATTATTTTTAATTTATTTTTGTGTTTATGTTTAGCAAGCATAACAAAAAGGTTTGGAATGCTTAACAAATGATGTTTCATTCACCTCTTTGTTGTTGTGATATTCATTTTAATATTGTTATTTTATGAAGTTTTTGATGTTTTGATTCATAGTTGTTGTTGTTTTAAGTTTGTTTTGGTACATAATATTGTTTGAGTTTGTGTTTTGATCTAGTTTATACATGTTAATACAAAGGTGTTTAACATAGCTTTGTTATGCATGTTTATGCACAAAATGAGTTCAAAAAAAGCTTATTTTGAATCCATATTACATGAACATATAGGTTGTGTTAATATTGTTGTTTTGGATTTGGTACCTCAAGCTTAATTTTGGTGTTTTGATATTTTTTATTATTGTTTTTTGTTCAACTATGTTTGTGCATGTCGGTGTGACTTGTTGGGATAAAAAAAATATGTTTTAGAAGCAAAAAATATTGATTGTGAAGGCTTGTTAGTCGCGGCATTTTTGACACGTGATTGAGTTTTGGTTAGCAATGTTCTTCATGTTCTTATGAAGAACATTACCTAGCTACATGATTTGGACAAATTTTATTCTATTTCTTTGCCCAGAACTATTTTTTAAACTTGATTAGGTAATAATTTACAATCTATTCGCATCATTAACATGTTTTAATATGTATAAATTTGTTGGTTTAGTTTTGATGTTGACATTTTTTTAGGTCAAATCGTGTTGATTCATTTAAAATTAAACTAAATGGACACTTGATTATTGAACTTGCATGATTTCCAACATGTATATGCCTTTGGCTTGTCCATTTTGGGTCTAATTTGAAAATCCTGGCTATTGGGTTTTAATTTTTGGGTTTCTTTATGTTCTCCCTATGAACATTATGTTAGTTACATGATTTAGACAAGTTTTGGTCATTTTCTTTTTGCATAACACTTTGTTGGGCATTATTAACAAGCAAACTAATGTTTATTTGCATAAGTAACATGTTTAAAATAGATTTTAAGCTTTACGTTTTGGTTTTGAACCAAAACTTATTTCGCTAAAAGCATGCATTTTTAGTGAAAATCAAAGAAATTGAATGTTAGATTATTGTTTCTTGAATGATTTCCAACAAGTATGTGTTTTTTATATGACCAAATTTGGTCTGAATCTGAGCCTCTATTGTTGGGTTTTGTTCGGCTCCTGATATTATTCTTCTTTTTTCTTCATTTTTAATGAGTTTGATCCATTTCGTTTAAAGTATTTTTTTGTGTGTTTTTGACAAGTCTAATCCATTTCTTTCTTTGGTTTCATTTTTTGTCTACTTACGAGTTTAACTAGAATTGTTTTGTTTGGTTTATGGTCGAATCAAAGATTTTGAGTAAACTGAAGTGAGCCAACCCGGTCAAGTAAAAAACAAGGGTCTTATACCCTGTTTGGTTTTTGCCACTTTTTCGACAAAAGGTCTTATGGTTTAAGGTTGTGTTTGGTTTAACATCTTTTAGGTTTATTTTGTTATGTTATGTTACAATTTCTTCTTGAACCAAACAAAGCCTAAAAAAATATATATATTTTTTAAATTTTGCATATGGCCAAGAATCCTAAATTTCAAGCATCTTTTTTTTTTTTAAAAAAAAATTAAATCCTAAACGATGTCATTTTATACCGAAACAAACTATTTTGGTCAAAACTCAATGTTTCATTTAAATGAAACAACACTTTTTTGACATCCTTAAGGTTTAAATTTGGGATTTGACTAAAACTCAATTTAGTCCTTTGTATTTTGATTTTTTTTAATTACATCCCTAATTGACTTCAAATTTTTAATTTTATGCAAATTTACTTTTTCCAAACTCAAATATCAACCATAAAGTTCAACGCCTTTTCCTTTTAATTATTGGTTTTGAATTTATAAAAATTGATTTTCAATTGACCATTTAACTTTTAATTTGCTTCAATTTCACCCCTATTTGCAATCAAATTGAGTCCTCAAAGTTTAATGTCTTTTTTAAAAAGGTTCTTGGTTGTGAATTTCTTTAATTTAACCTTTAATTAACCATAAACTTTGATTTTCTTATAATTTTGTTATTAATTTCAATCAATTGACTTCATAAAAATTAAATTTAGTCATCTAAAATTTCAATCTTCTCGATTAAGCTCAAATTAGACTTTCAAATTTAATTTTTTACCAATTAAGTCCTTAATAAAATTAATTTGATCCATTAAAAATACAATTAAATCCTTGCACCTAATTAAATCTTTTAATTTGACCCAAATTAGTTCTTAAACATAATTAAACCTTTTAATTTGGCTCATGATTAAATTAAATTGGGTTATTGATAATCTAATTAATTCTATTAACTTAATTTTTAGGAACATTTATCCTATAATCATTTAATTTGATCTTAAATTTAGATTGTCTCTTTAGTCTTGAGTATAATGGGGTACGGTTGTTCAGAACTTCAGTTTGATTTCTCTATATGTTTGAAATTATTCTCATTCTGTTTTTTCTAAGTTGCTAGTCTTTGTTATTATTATTATTATTATTATTATTGATTTTTTTATTTTTAGAAGAAAAAAAGGGTAAATTTAGGAGGAATCTAAAAATGGGTTATAACAGGGATAATGAAGGATAAGTAACTCCAATAAGGTTATCAAAAATATTTTTTTTGACATGACATGGAAAATAAAATGTAAATT